ATTGGCCTAGTTTCCCAGGCTGTAAATCATTATGTGAGGAGATTGCCCATATATCTCCACAGAGCACTGAGTACATTCGAACCAATACGCTTGACCAGTTAATACTTGTTCAGTATTATGTGTTACCCATTCAAACCACTAACCTTTGTCCAGTTTGCAGTCTTACATGTTACCAGGGCCCTTTTTGAAGTCCTTAGGGAAAGCAATTTCAGTAAAGGGAGTAGTGGAAGAGTAGAGGAAGAGTTGGGAGAAAATTGTGTAGAATCTGTATAGACCATTCTGAAGAAGAAAGCAGATCAGATACTACATGGCAGAAGGACTTTTAAAAAATGGTAGAGAACATTTATGCAACTAGTGTACTGTGCGAGGCCTTGAGGATCTAAGAGAGAATATGTGTTTGTTGATGGAATAGGGTCCCTGAGAAGGTGGGAAGTGGTATCATGGATACCAGGCAGAGTTATGTACTTTGAAAGAAGAGGTACGTTTTCCATTTTAAAAGAAATAGGAAGAAAGGATGAGGGTACAGATGAATTTGTTTGAATATATCCACTCACACAATCATGCCACTTATGTAGCTAACATAAATTTATTGACTAATGTTTTTGTAGAGTTGGAACTGACCCATAGTTGACCCTCCAGCAGGTTTTCAGAGGCAGCTAATCATATGGGAGGACATTGCCCATTCTTCTCCCACGGCGCAGCTAGTAGCCTTGAACCATGTGCCTTCGAGATTGCAGCACTGCTTTTTGCCACTAGGCCACCAGTGCTCCATTGACTAATAAAGGAACCAATTAATGAATGACAAGTCATCTACTGTGGCACAGCCTTACATGCCATTTTCTCCAGTCTTCATTCCACTGCCAATCTTGTACAAGGTCATGAATATTTGTGGACACTTTTTCTCCCAAGATCCACAATGCCATAATTTATTCCAGTACAAGTACCAATACTGGTCTATCTAAACTCGTCCTTTAGATCTTTGAAACTTTCATGATTGTACTTAAATAATGTGCTATAGGTCTTCTGATTCAAATTAGACCTTTGACATGATTGTATCAGGCTCTAACAAGTAGCAACAGGGATAAATGGTGGACATGTGGAAAATAAAACAGCAGAGACATTGAGGAACAGGTGGCTACTGAAAAGAGGTTCATGGCAGTGCTGTTAGACTTCCTGGGTTTGAGGAACAGAAGAAGACTCAAGATATAGCAGGTAACACTTAGAGTGGTCATTGCCATCAAGTTGGAACCAACTCATTGCTGACTGACCAATGGGGTTTTGGGGAGGCTGTAAATTGCACAGGAAGCCCATTTTTCTCCCAAGGAGCTGCTGGTCAATTTGAACCACCAAAGAAGCACTTCCTTTATGTTATCTGTGCAACTCCCTATGAACATGTCACAAGGATGCAAGGAGACAAGTGCAGGCATATTTATGCTGTTTGGCTGAATGACATCAGGACATCAATCAGGCTAGCTCCAGCCCCTATGTTATTGCCTTCTCTCTTGGGAGCATTCACTGGTGTTTCTACACTCTAGGGTTTCAACTGTTCTCTGCTTATTTCTGTTGGTTTTAATAAACTTCTTTCTACTTCTTTTGTTGCTGTCTCATGGTTTCCATTTTCACTGTCCTCGCTTCCTTTTGTACACTTTTCTTCAGCTACATTGGCTAAGAACTGTATGCCTCACAGTCAAATATACTAAGAGAGAATCTAGATGGTTCAATTGCTCTTTAGTACAGAGCTGTTTTTTGGGCACAATATATCCCAGGTCTTTGATAAACCTCATGTGAAGGTATCATTTAGTAAGGCCCTTGCCCTACTCCTGATAAATGAAGAATAATGGGGTATATAAAGGAGCCCTGGCGGCACTATGAATAAAATGTCCAGCTGCTAACTGAAAGGTCTGTTGGAAAAGAATGCATCTCAATAGTAACTACAAAATGTCTAATACGCCGTTGCAGGGGATCAATTCCTTCTATTTAACAATGTATCTGGAATGGCCTAATGACATTTGCTCTACTTTTCAGCATTCTAGACAGTAATTACCCAAAGGCCTGCACAAGTTTCAGCCTATAAAATCCTTCTTTAATGAGACCTTACAAGACTTTAGTGTGCTTCTGAAGCACTTCAAAGCTATGCTTGCAGCAGGGGTGTGTTTTTAAACAAAAAAAAAAAGAAAAAAAAAGGAATGCAGTGCATTCTAGGTTGTTTCAAGTTTAAGACAGAATTCTAGAAACACATACAATAGGTTCTATTATCTGGACAAAATTGTATTCTCTAGGGAATCATAAGGCTGTGGGCAGGGATCAGTGGTGAAGAGTTGTGGGCTTCTTAAGTTCCTAAAACAATTGAAGGAAAAAAGAAAAAAAAATACTAGGCTAACTTCAGTCTCAGCTAGGAAACGGATAATTAAGTTGAAGGGCAACCTGGTCATAGTTAACTTCATTTGAGGTCAGGCACTAATGAGAATGGCAGAACAAAGCATTAGTTGCTCTCAGCTCCTTATTCCATTATTCCAGAGCTTGGCGTTTTTCTTCATATTGTATATATACTATAGATATAATAAGATAATAATTTTAACTTACTGCTCCATCTGCAAAGTTCAAATACCCAATTTTAATTGTAACATATCTAATATCTAAGAAAGCAGGAGTGTGAAGGAAAATACTTGTTCATTTGCTCCAGTAGTTCTGTTTCTACCAAGACTTTGTCAGATTTTAGTTTGATCTGACTGGGGACAAAAGAGTGATGTTTGTTCTCCTATAGCTGCACTGTCTACTACGGCAGCTGCTAAGTTTGCAAGAAAACAAAATCCTCACCACTGGTCCAAGAGGCAACATCAGGATAGATGGAGAAATGATGGATGTTGTCAACAATTTCATTTTGCTTGGATCCACAATCAGCACCCTTGGAACTCACAGTTAAGAAATCAGTATGTATGTCGCATTGGGAAAATCAGTTTTCAAGGACCTCTCTACAGTGCCAAGGAGCAATGATGTCAGTTTAAAAACCAAGATGTGCCTAATTTATGCCATTGTCTTTGCAACTACTTCCTCTGCATCTAAAAGTTGGACAATCGATAAGGATGACAGAAGAATTGACGACTTTGAGCTACGGTGTTGGAGAAGAGTAGTGAGTATACCGTGAACTTCAAAAAGAACAAACAAGTATGTCTTGGAGAAAATGCAACCAGGGTGCTCCTTAAAAGCATGGATGGTGAAACTTTGTCTTACATACTTTGGGTGTGTTCCATTGCTTGGAAAGGTCAGTGAAAAAGAGGAAGCACTTCAATGAGATGGATCAACACTAATTGTAACAGTGGGCTCAAGTGTATCAGAGCTGATGACCACAGGTTAGGGCTCTCAGATCTGTTGTTCATCTGTTGTAGCTGACTTGATAGTACCTAACAACTACATGATGGATGGAGAAAATATTGACATCAATGATTTAGTTTTGCTTAAATCCACAATCAACACCCATCCTAGCAGCAGTTGAGAAATCAAAAGATGGGGAAGGAGGGAGTGGGGAGTGGAGAAAGAAATAAAAAGATGCATTGCATTGGGGATATATTAATGTTGTCTTATGTGCTAAGGAGAAAGAATGCCAAATTAGGATGTGCTAGATCCAAGCCATGGTCTTTTCAATTACTATGCATCTGAGAGCTGCATAATAAGTAAGGAATCAATGCCTTCAAATTGTGGTGTTGGAGAAGAATATTGAGGTTATCAGGAGGGACTGCAGAGAGAACAAAGAAATCTATCTTAGGGGAAGCACATTCAGGATGTTCCTCAGAGGTAGGGATGGTGAAATTTCTTATGTCCTTTGGGTACGTGTCAGGAGGGGCCAATCCTTGGAAAAAGACATCATAGTGGGCAAAATGGAGGCTTAGAGAAAGAGAGGAAGACTCTCAACATGATGCGCTGTACAGTGACTGTACAAGTGCCTTTGGGATGTCAAAAATCATGAGGATGGAACAGGATAGAGCATGGCTCAGATTTGTTGTTCATTTAAGTACATTTAAAAATAAGTCCTGCATTTTAGTGTCCAATTACAAAAGAACAGAAGTAGGCTCATGATATAAAACCAAATTATATGAAAGAAAGCGTTAACATGCTGATCATTTGTTATATTTAAAAATTATGCTTCGTTTTTGTTTTAAAAATAAAGTTATATTATAGGGTCAATGCAAACGTCTGTGTGAAGACCCTATTGGTCATCAAGTCTGAACAAAGTTATCTCTAGGAAAGATTTGATGGGTAGAAAAGGAAAGAAATGTAAATCCTCACCGTTTTATGCATTCCTCACTTACATCTGCCTTGTAACAGTTACACCTGTATGACACGACCATTTTAAATTCACCTCGATTAAGTCTCGGATAAAGCAGGGCTCTTTGTGTGTATGATTAAAAAACGGCTAGAGCAGTCCATAGAGAATTTCCAGAAGTTCAAGGTGGTTTTAGAAAAGGTCATGACACCAGGGATATCGTTGCAGATGTCAGGTAGATCCTGGCTGAAAGGAAAGAATAGCAGAGAAATGTCTATTTGTGCTATATTGACTATGCATAGAGTGTGTGTGTGGGGTTGGGTGTGTGTGTTGTTTTGGGTGCTCAAAAAATAAATTTCCCGAGCATTAATACAGTACTTTCTAGTTTATGGAGCTGCTTCTTACCATCTACAGTTCTTCATTGTACTCAGTAGGTTCGCCTCTTGTCTTCCCTCAAGGCACTGAAGTGTGGCACAAACCCCTCCAGGAGGCGGGTGTTAGCAAAGAGCAGATGGGATGCAGGATGTGGAGTGGGCGTGGCGCGTGGTGGGCGTGCCCCGAGGGTGGGCGTGGTCTGGCAGGTCGAGGCGGGAGCCCGCGCGGGTCACGTGCCGTGAGCGCGCTTTCGGGCGGCGCCACCAAGTGGAGTGGGGCGGCGTGTCGCGCGTTGGGTGCCTTTCTTGGCGTGGGGACCCCAGAAACTGCCGAGCCGCAGGGGTCCAGGGTCGGCGGGAGTGCGAGCCAGGCATGGTGACAGGCCCTCCATCGAAGTGGGCGGGCAGACGGGAAGCTTGAAGTGGTGGCTCCGCCCCCGGGGCGCAGGGCGCTGGGGCGACCGCGTAGGTCAGTTGCTCGCGGCCCCCCGCTGAGCCGGGCTGGCTCCGGAGCGCGCGGGGTCCTTGGGTGGGGCGTCACTCTGCACCTGGCTGGGGGAGGGGGCCAGGTGTGCCAGCGTTGGGCCCCTGGGAGTCTCCAGGCACGGTCAGCGTTGCCGAGTCGCGAAGATGCTGGGCTCGCGGCCGATCTTGGGCTTCCTGGCCGCCGCTGGCCTCAACGCTGTAGGAAGTTAAAGACAGACGGTGGCATCGGTGCCCTGCAGTCCAGATCCCGTGGCCTCGTGCTCCTGCTCTTTGTGTTCCTTGCGCGCCTGTCAGCTGCGTGCTTTCCCGAATCCTTGGTGTGTGCACCGTAACTTTTCTTTTCCTACTAACATGCGATGATTGTTGGACTGTGCAAGTCACGCGCTGGCCATGTGACTGCCTTGAGGATGAACCGCGTGGTCGATTTGAACATGAATATGCAGTCTGGATTCAGCTTGAAAAAATTACAGCTGCCCAAGCGAAACATTCGTGATTCGCTTGTTTCCCATCTATGGGTCGGCAGGAAGTATTGAAAAGGGTTCTCTTGCGTTAGTAATTTTTTTAAATGTCTTAAATTGTTGTTTTAATGCAAAAGATAGTAAAGTCAAATAGTTTGACATTTATGTTAACTTCAAGGTTGCATAAATTTTGCAACTTTCAGTCTTAGACTTTTATGAATAATTGATATAATTAAGCAGCATTAAAAATCAGTGATTGTCCTTGGAACTATTTATCGTTTCATTTTTGCACTGTTAGTAGATACATTCTGTTTGTAAAGTTATGAAGGTCCTCCTCACCTTTTAAACTCAGCATTTGGAAAATAATTTATTGATTTGTTTGAAGAACTGGCAGTATTCACATTGTAACTCTCGTGTGTGTGTGTGTGTGTGTGTGTGTGTGTGTGTGTGTGTAGTTTTAAAGATCTTTGTATTAAATAATGAAATTGTTACAAAATCCACCGTTTTCATCCCCTAATTCTAAATAACTAGGACTCCTATTTCTGGCCCATTAAAAGAAGGGGAGAAAAATAGCAGTAACATTCTTTTAAAAAATTAACAGTACCTTTTCCATTTCTCCCAGGCAGAGCAACTTCCTCTTAACAACTGATCAAAACAGGAGTAATTGCTACAAGTTGGACTGGTTTATTGGAAGCATTTGTATCTCAGTGTGAGATTTTGTGGAATCGTTTATCAGATAACATTTACTAAGCAGAACGTTGTGAACCAGCTGAAACTTGAAGTTTAGGACCTGATTCTTGTCTCCTGAGGGCTCTGGCTTTTGCCAGGATGGTGTGAGCAGTACATACCTGTGATTCAGGCCAACTAAGTATTATTTCTATAAATACACTTGCTTCCTGGGTCTTCTCCAAAATAAAGGAGAGCCACCTATGAGGAAAGGTAGGTGGGTGGGCAAAGGAGAAGAACTTCAACCAGGTGGATTGACACGGTGACTGTCAGAATGGGCTCTAGTGTTTCAGGAGTTGTGAGGATAGGATAGCACAGGATAGGACAGGGTTCAAATCTTTCATAGCATCGCTATGAGTTGAACTTGATTCAGTGGCACCTAACAACAACAACAACCCATCAGGTTAAATAAAACATCTAGTCTTTCTTCGGTGAAAACTTGGTGCGGTGTTCTATTAAATAAATTAGAATGTTTTTCTCTTACAGTTTTATTTTACTTCTACATCCAGTCTCTTTAGTGAGAAGATGGTGTAATATACTATTAATGAGAATATTTTCTCCTTATAGTTTTACTTCCGAATTTTATCATATTTCTAAATTGAGTACATCTCAGTTTCATTGTAATATCTGTAAATTCCAACTCTGGTGTGGCAGTTTCTTCCCTCTTGACGTAGTAACAGCTGAGCTTTTTTACATTATTATATGTATTTGCGGAAGAAAATAGTAGAAAGTAGTAATGTAACCTTATACGTAGAGAAGAAAATACAGAGAACAAATACATGTATTTTAGAACCATATCACTCCTTTCAAGCCAATTCTGATAGCGATCAGAACCATCAGGATGACTTAGTAAATTCTTCACAGTTCTTCAAAAGAGGGAAGGTGTTACCAGTGTTGTTACATGTCATCAAGTCCACCATGACTCTTAGGAACCCTGTGAACAGCAGATCTGACCCTTACCCCACCCTGTCCCATCCTCATGACCTCTGATAAGCTCAAGCCCATTGTTACAGTCACTGTGTCAGTTGATCTCCTGAGGCTCTTATTCTCTTCCTCTTTCACCAGCATGATGTTACTAGTGTAGGGACCAGTTCATACCCTAGGTGTCATATACTGTGTTCAGTATAAATTCATTGATGTTCAAAGTGTCTTATAACTATCTTAGTGTGCTTGCTTGATTGAAATGTTAACTCCCCCCTCAACTAGTTTTATTTACAAAATTCTAATTCTTATTCAAACAAATTCTATTTCCCTCACCCCCTAACCCATCAAATTGTTAACATTTTGCTTACTTACCTGGCCTCCCTAGTCAATATCTCATCAGTACTATCACTACCTTAAAGTCACTGTGGTGGTAAAATGGTTAAGTGCTTAGCGATGAACCTAAAGATCAGCTGTTCAAGCCTCTTAGTCACTCCTGGTGGAACAATGTGTCAGGCTGCTTCTTTATAGATCACAGCCTAGAAAATACTGTGGGACAGTCTCGTGTGCCCTCTAGGGTTGCTATGAACTAGAAGAGGCAACTTCTATTACGGGCTTATAGAAAGTGGACAAGAAGTGTAAGACATAGTTTAATGCTGTTTGTGAGAAGATACACTGAGCCACTCACTTTGAGTTGGTTTATTTACCAGCCTGCTAGTAGGAAATTCCTGTTTTGTATAGTAAAAGCACTCCTTAACTGTACATTTTATCTTGTGACAATGGAAAGTAACCACATGCTTTTACTTTGTTGTTTCAAGTTTTCCTTTAAAATGAAATTTCCGGATGTGTGACTCAGAACTAGTCAGTATTATTAAACCTAAGTTTCATTCCAAGTTAACTTTTAAATGTGAAAGAATCAAAATGAGAAAGTTGTAAATGGGTGTTGGGTTTTGTGTTTGGGGTTTTTTTTGTGTGTTTTTTTTTTTTTTTGTCTGAAAGTTTTTTCCCATTAGGTCACCAGAGCTCCCTAAAAGTTAAGGAGTTTTTATTAAGAAGATTTTTAGTTGAGCTCTTTGTCTTATCTATAATGTGATTTATCTAGTTTGTGACTTTGTCTTTTACTTCTGTCAGCTGACTTCTTTGGAAACACTGATTAATAGTTTTCAGAATCTATCAAGTTGGAACCAATAGCTGGGGTACATCTAAGGTTAGTTCTTGGTTATTGAAGGAGATATAACTAATAGTAACCTAAAATTACTTAACGGAGCTCTGTTGGAGTGGTAGGGGACTTAGGCGGTGTCCTGGGAAGTTGCATTGCTGACTTAAAGTCTGTACCACTCTTGTGGTTCGGATCCAAGGAGAGAAAGATGGACATTTACCTCCCTAGTAACTTACTACCTCCAAAACCTGCAAGAGGATTAGCTGTGAACAGGTTCTGCCTCAGTAACAGTGAGATTTTGTTGTTTTTAGTTGAAGTAGTGCAATAACATATTGGACTGCTAAATGAAAGGTCAGTAGTTTAATTCTGGATCCATGGATCCATGGGAGAAAGACGGACAGTCTTTTCCTGTAAAAATGTAGTCTCATAAACCCAGTGGACGTAGCACTGAGCTGGAGCTGATTAAGCAGCAGTGGGTGGGTTTGGAATTAATTCTTTAAGCAGTTTCATAAAGCCTAAGCATTTAGCCTATTTAATTTCCACCAATTTTAATAAACGTTAAAGTTCTTAGCTGAATAAGTTAAGTGATACATAAGGTACCTAGTGAGCTGAACTCTAATTGCTTTTAAGTCATAACCAACTCATAGCTGACACTCCAGTGAGTTTTCAGAGGCTATAAATTGCACAGAAAGAGATTGCTTCTATATCTCCCATGGAGCAGCTGATAGATTTGAACTTGTTCTCTTGGGTTGGTGGTATAACTCCTTATCCGATAGGTCACATAATACCTATTGAGTAAGGCCAATTGTTATTTCTATAAGGAGTTATGTGTTGCTATTGTTGTGTATTGTAGAGTCAGAACCGACCCATAGCTAACTGAACCCCATGCCTTCGGGATTGCAGTGCAGCTTCTTGACTCTAGGCCACCAGAGCTTGAGATATGCTTCTATATGGCATCCAAGTCAGTACAAACATGTTGAGTATATGAATTTTTATAAAATAGTGTAACGATGTTAAATACAAAGTGATTTTGGTTGTTGTTGCTGATTACCACTGAGTTGGAACCAACCCATAGCAGATGCTCCAGGTGAGGGGGTTTTCAGAAGCAGTTAATTGCATGGGAGGAGATTGTCCATTCCTCTCCTTTGAGCCAAAGCACATGCATTCGAGATTGCAGTGTAGATTCTTACCATTAGGCCACCAGAGCTCCCATATTTTATATTGATTTCAGTGGTTTACAAACCAAAGTATGTGGTTTGTAAAGCACAAAATAGTTTTCAAGATTTCAATTATAGCAGTTTTTTTTCTTCTGAAAGAGCTGATGTTCTTTGTGTACTAGCACAAGTTATTGAGGAAATGAATTAATTCAATTAAAAAGTAAATAATAAATTATGTTTTTATTTTATCTTGTTTTAAGATAAAAGTATTCCCTAGGATAGACTTTGTAATATGTGGCCTGTTGTTCTTGGTCTGTACCGTCGAGTTGGAACCAACCCATAGCTGACTCTTTGTCAGGTATTCAGAGGCAGTTAATCACAAGGGAGGAGATTGCCCATCCTTCTCCTGTGGAGCAGCTGGTAGATTTGAACCACATACCTTTGGCATTGCAGTGTGGCAGCGCGACTTCTTGCCACTAGGACATCTGAGCTCCCTGAGTATAAAATCTGCATTTGTAATTCTTTTGCATTATTGAAACATAATTTTTTTTTCAACAACTTC